CTGTGTTTTAAGGAGGAAGATTGGGTTTGTGATTGCACCCATAGGCTGAAACCCACAAGAGGTGCGTTCAATTCCTCACTCTACCACAGACTTCCTGTGGGCGCATGGGCAAGGCTCTTCACCTCTCAGTTACCAGGAAAATGAAGATAATGGTCCTTTTTTGTATGTCTGGTCTTTTAAGACTCAGTTCTTCGGGGCAGGAACTGTCACTCGCTATGTATCTGCACAGCGCCCAGCACAATGGGGGCCTGATATTGGTTGGTGCCTCTAGGTGCTGCTATCATCATAGTATTACAGATAGAAGCAACATAGAAAGGAGGAGGAAGGTGCAGTAAATGCTGAGGTTTGGCCAGATCTTAACACAGTGTTTCCCAATGTATTGGGGGGGGGGGGCTGGGGCTGAAAAACTAGTTTGGAATCAAGGGGCATCAGCTGAGCTGTGGAGAGGGGAGCCTAGGACTGGGATAACAGAGGGGCTGTGGGTCTGGATTGGTGGGCACTGGCACAACTGGAGGGAGCCCAGGACTGCGATAACAGGGGGCCGCTGGTCCGGATTGAGGGGCATCAGCAGATTTGGGGAGGGGAGAAAGCCAAGGACTGGGATAATGGGGCTATGGGCAGATAGGCAGGCCTCCCAATTGTTCCCAATGGTGCCAGCTTTCATTTAAAAAGAGTAAGACTACAGCTGTTCTGGCTGGGAAGAAAACCTTGTAAATATGAACCAAGTGTAACTGATGCAGCCTGAGTTTGCAGAGAGCCTGAGAGAAAGGTTCTGAGGTGTGAACTGCCCTGCTGGTTTCACTGGGCACTCACTCACATGCCCAAGATGCCACTTTAAGTGTCAACATTGTTAACTCTTTCACTGCTGGTCAGAGCATGTCAGAAAGAGTTGGGGGGGAGCATATTTTTCAGGTGTAAGATTATATGGGCAGGCCTTTAACCACAAGGCGGATGCTATTAGTTGTATTTGCCTGAAGGGGGCACCTGGTCTTCCGAGGTTTGGGGAACATGTGTTAACACCAGCCAGTGATGTCAGTTTAATTAGGGCATGGGGACAATCTGAGGCATATTCCCTCCAGCCCTTCCCTCGAATTCAGCTGCTGCAGGGCAGGCGCAGAGGAGACGCTCTGGCAGCCAGAACTCCATGCTGCAAACAAGTTACCTGTAGGCACTGACAGGCCCTGAGTCAGCTTGGAAAAGAGCCAGGCATCATGGTCCCCCATCAGCAATGGGGTCTGTGGGGAGGCCCAAAAGTGTTTAACTGCAATTGGGAGGGAGAGACAGACAGGGCCTGCTCCCCAGCATGGGGATGTGCCAGGAGAGAAGAGAGACTCAGGCTGGTGTGGGGAGATGTGAGCGAGGGGCTGGGATGGAGCTCCTACCCATGATCAAGGAGCACTCAGTCAAGTGTTCCTAATTGAGCCTCCACCTGCAGGACTCACTCCTGCAGGTTGGTCCTGAGGGACAGAGCTCACTGCACTCCTAGAAGAGAGGGTATAGGCTCATGGGAATAGGGAGAGATTGCAGGGAGGGGAGCTAGGTGGGCTCTGCACTCTCAGGCTTCTGGGCCTGAGCTGATCCCCAGCTGGGGAACAGGAAAGAATTAGGCACCATGGCACAGGACACTGCAGTGAGATGCATTGGGCGGTTTGCACCATCTGTAAGAAACAGATGGAGGCAGAATATCAGTCTAGGGCCCATTGGTCTGATCCAGCACAGCAGGATGGGAAATGGTACTGGGCTAGAGGGGCCCATTGGTCTGATCCAACCTGGTGTCTGTGGGGAGAGATACCAGCTTAGATGGGCCCTTTGGTCTGACAGGTAGTAGCTGGGCTGGAGGGAGAGAGGGAATATCATGCTGGGTGGGCTGGTTGGTCTGATCTGGGCTTGGTAGGAAAGGGGATACTGAGCTACAAGCCCGTTGTCTGATTTAGTGTAACAGGGAATGGGCATGGGGTACTGGGCTAGGGGGCTTATTGCTCTGATCCAGCATGGCAGGGAGAGGGATGGGGGCTAGATCAGCCCTGGTGTGATTAGGTGCAGCAGGGGGTTGAGGGACAGCAGAGTAGATGGGCACATTGGTCTCTCTCAGTGTATCGGAGTGGGGCAACGTCAGGCTAGATGGGCCCTTTGATCTGGGGCAACGTAAGGCTAGCTGGGCCCTTTGGTCGGCTCTCCTGGCGGTTCCCTAGCTGGTCAGCACCAGGGTAGGAGCGCATATCCCCCAACCCCCAATACACACATGCACAACACTGGGGAAGCTGCTGGCTGCAGCCTTTGGGTCTGTGCCTCCCAGGCAGCTAAGCAGACTGGGCTCTTAAAGGGAAAGCGCAGCGACTGCACAGGCCAAGTGACCCAGGTGAAGGAACATGTGACACCTCGCTTTAATGGGCTGCCTGTTTCCTCCCCTGAACTGGGGCCAGCTCCACTCTGGGCCCATGTTCCAGCGCTCGCTCTGCCCTGCCAAACAGGCAGGGAGGGGCTGCCAGAAGGTTCACTGCAGTGGGTCGGTGGGGGGGAAGGATGGGGGGAGGGGGGTGATGGGGGACAAGGGGGGGGGCAAGCGGGAGAGGAAACCAGGGAAGGAGGCAGGAGAGTAATGGTGCAGGGAGCAGAGGGTGAGGGGAGAGGTGGGCCAGAGAAGAAGGGGGGCTGTGGAAACAGAACCCCCTGGCAGGTGACTCCTTGACCTGGCTCTTGGCCTGGCCCTGCTGTCTAGCCCTTCCCCACACTGGGTTAGAAATCTGTGGGCTCTGCCAACCCCAGCTCTGGAAAATAGCTCTACGAGTGTGACACACTTTTTCGATTAAGAGTTGGCAGGAGTGCATTCCGGCCCTCAAACTGCTGGCAGGGTGCAGAGGAGATGAAAGGGAGGTGAGGCAGCGGGGCAGGAGGGAAGGGGCCTGCTTGCTGCCTGCCACCCCCAGCCCTCCCTGCCCTCACCCTTCACTCCCTCCGATTAGTTAAATTCCATTCGCTGTTTTACAACATGTCCGGGATGTTTCTGTTGTTAACGTGTGGGGAGGCTGTGACATCAGAGAGGCCTCAGCCAGTCATCATGGAGCTTACCATAACTCATTAGCAAGCTGCCAGCCTATTGATTGCTTTGCAGGGGCACTGGGACAAGGAGAGATCTCATGCTATGAAGTCACAGCCTGATGTCATCTCCGATTCATTTGACTCTATTCCCGTCTCTCCCTGTTTAAAAGTACAGGGGCAAATTGCATGTCAGTGCTGTCATGAGCCGGGGGTGTATGAGAGAGACAGTTGTCATCTGCTGAGCTGAATTGGAACTGTTCAGCTGTGTGTTCTGTACTTCTGATAGCAAATGGGGATTCTCCATTAGCTCAGTGGCCCACACTTGGGCTTCATCAGTAGGCGGATCCAAGTGCTATACCCAGTGATGCTGTGATGTTGAGAGTAGCCATATTGTCCATGGAGTGCTGGCTAGTCCTGGCTTAGTTAAAATAGCTGAGATGCAGCTGCCTCTGGGGGCATGCAGTAGCTGTTTATACAAGGATCCCTTGTCTGGTGCCAAGATGTAGCCACCTCTGGGTTGGGGCCCAGCAGCTGTATAAACAGGGATTACTCATGCAGTGCTGAGATGCAACCTCCTCTAGAGTGGGGCATGGAGCTGTTTATCAACTGTGATGCTGTCTAGGAGAGGCCATCTCCAGAAGAAGTGCAAGAGGTGTAGGGAGGCAGAATGGAATTGCCCAGGTTGGGATTGGTCCAGGAGACGGCAGGAACACCTGACTGAGGCAAAGTGCTGCAGGATGCTCTTTAATGAAGCGTGCAAGTGGCCAGGGCCTGGGCTTTGTGTCTCATGGGTGATTCATCGCAGGTGAGAATCACCTTCCTGAGCAGGATTCACGCACCAGCACAAGTAATGGGCACGTCCCCTCCATGGCCAAGAGCCAGCAGCCTACGCAGGCGTGTCTCCCTTTACAGTTCCTTCCTGCCAAGCCCAGCGGAGCTGCAGTGAGACACTGGAACGCTGCATGGTTCTGGAGCCTGAAACCACCATGCTCTTCTAAGCCTACAAACCTTGACAGCTCCCTACACCCTAAAGCCCCAAGAGCTACAACCACCCTGAATCCCTGACAGCTGCTGAGCTCCCGATGGGCCCTGCAGCACCCACCACTCCACACCTCCAATGGGCCCTGACCCCACGTTTAGCTGAGCATCAAACCAAATCACGCATTCTGAAGTAGTAAGAGAGGCCTTTACCTCCAGCTCTGAACCCTCTGACCCCCCTTTCCCTTGGGGCTTGGGACCCAGAAGAGATACTTAGCCCTGGACTGGGCAGGTGGGGAGGAGTGGAGATGGCCAGGCACACCTTAAAAAGCCTTTTAGACCAGTTGGGCCTTGACTCCCCGACATCCACAGCATCTGCCTCTTGCTCCCAGCTTTTCCCTGAGTGCTTTACAGGCTTTATCGCTCATTCGAAACAGTTGTTTGAGACGCCCATAAAAATACCTGGCTGAACAGCTGGGGCTGGAGGCCGTTCAGGGCGGTGTGGAGGAGAATGTGAGACAAGGTGTGCGAGAGGTACATCCTGCCTCCCTGGGGCGCTGGGCTGGGGAACTGGCCTGGATGGCCCCGGAGAGTACACCCCATCTGCCTCTCCTCAACCGCCAGCCAGAGCATTCAGACCCAGCCTGAACACAGCTCTGGGGCAGAACAATGGGGTGACAACTCCAGAGACAAATTCATGTCACAGCACCCCCTGCTGGAGAGGATGGGGCTAGGCAGCCACAGGTTCCTCCTCCTACCCAATGTCACAACAACCCCTGCTGGGGAGGATGGAGCTGGGCAGAGGAAGTGCCACCCTCTCTCTGGTGTCACAGTGCCCCTGCTGGGGAGGGCAGGTCTGGGCAGTCACAGGCTCCTCCTCCTCCCCAATGTCCCAGCACCCCTTGCTAGGGTGGGCAGGGAGGTAGGCTCTGCCCTCGCCTGTGTCAAAGTGCCCCCTGAGGTGGTCATTGTGTTCCCTGCAGGAGATTCTTGGGGGATCTTTGCCTTCCTGTGTGCCGCACTCTGGAACCTGCCCACGCTCCCTGCCCTGAACAGCACAGACGAGGTGGGCGCCGTCCAGTCCATCCAGAAGACCTACGACCTCACCAGGTATCTGGAACACCAGCTGCGCACGCTCGCCGGCACCTATGTGAGTACAGGGAGGGCTCCCCTTTCCTCGCCCATCCCTGCCTGTCCTCAGCTCTCCCCCTCAGCTCTCCTGCCCCTTTCTCTCTCCTCCCCTCCCCCAACTTAGATGTCTCCCCAGAGGGGTGGGGGGGTTGATTCCTTTCTGTCCTCCTTGGGGGGGAGGGGGTCTTGGTAAATGACAGGCTCCCAAAAGTGATTCTCCCACCCAGGAGACCGGGGGGGGGGGAGGTTTGTAACTCAATCCCCCCCACCCCAGCACACGAGGCAGCAGGGATGACAAATGGCTGAGGCATGTTCTGTTATAAGATCCGGCTTTGCATCATGCTGATGTGGTCTGGGGGCTGAGTCGGGAGGCAGCTCTTGGAGTGGAGGGAGGAGCTGCAAATCCTCTGCCTCTCCCTGATTGGGGGTCTCTGTCTCTCATCCCCAGCCCCCTCTCTATTCTGGGCCCAGTTCTCCGCCCCCACCCCACCAACATCCCCTTCTGGGGAGCTGGGGCTCCCACTCTCCCTGTCTGCACCCACCTGCCCCTGCTCTGTCATGCATATCTCCCAGCTCACACCCTTCCCTCTGCATGGCTCTAGCCCTGGCAGGATGCCCTGCATCATGCCCCCTCCCTGTCCTCGGGCACCGGGGGAGTCTCCCACTGTTTACACTCTGTTGTGCTGTCTCTCCATGGGGTGAGGTGAGGCTCGTGTGTCAGAACTCGCCTGGGAGACGCCCCGGCTGGGCCATGCTCCACCACGCACAGAACAGGCACCCAACCATGGCAACGGGGGACACCGCCCGCATCAGACCCACGGGCCTATCCAGCCTGGTATCCCTCTCCCCCCCACTCTGCCAGACCAGACCCACAAGCCCATCCAGTCTGTATCCCCCTCCTCCATGCTGGGCCAGATCACACCCTTGGACCCATCTAGCCTTGTATCCCCACCACACTGGATCAAACTAATGGGTCCTTCTAGCCTCCTCTGCCTGGCAATGCCCAATGCCCAAACTTCCCATGGATATTGTCCAGCCTGGCCTGTAGATTCCACTTTCCTCTAGAGTTTTGTGCCAATGGGTTATAAGGAGCCCTGGGTAACTATAGGCCAGTTACCCTGACACCTATCCCGCGCAAAATCATGGAAAGGCTTAAATGGGATACAACAAAGAATTAAAGGATGTTACCTTGATGAATGCCAGGGAGCCGTGTTTTGGAAAATAGGGCTTGTCAGACAAACCTGATATCTTGTTTTTTGGTGCAATCACAAATTTGATAGTAAAGATAACTGTGCTGATGTAACATACATTGATATCTGTGAGGCATTTGGCTTAGTCCCGCAGGATAATCTGATTAAACAGTACGGTGCAAAATCAGCCTAGCCCATATTAAATGGATTAGAACCTGGCTAACTGATAGAGCTGAAAAATTAATTATAATTGGGGAATTCTCATCCAATAGGGGTGTTTCTGTTGGGGCCCTGCAGGGATCCCCTCTTGGCCCAAAGCCATTCGATATTTTTATCATTGATCTGGAAGAATATACAAAATGACTGGTGGTAAAGTTAGCACGTAATACCAAAATTGGCAGTGGTAAATACTGATGGGGACAGGTTAGTTAGACAGACTGATCTGGATTGCTTGGTAAGCTGGGCCCATGTGAACAAGGTACAAGAACATACATTCTTTGTTCCTAGGTGTAGGTCATGCATACTGGAGGAGGGACTGTATCTTGGAATGAAAAAGGACTAGGGGGTCATGGTAGATAACCAAACAAACATGAGCTCCCAGTGCAGTGCTATAGCTCATGTGATCCTTGGATGCACAAGCAGGGGAATGTCCAGTAGGAGGAGGGAAGTGGTGTTACCTCTGTATATGGCATTGGTGAGCCCATTACAGGAACAGCGTGTCTGGTTCTGGTGACCATATCAGAGAAACTGGTCAGGGTTCAGGAAAGAGCGACAAGAATGAGGCGAACTCTGGGAAAGTCTGTGTGATGGTATTTATCTACTGGGGTTGTTGAAGAGAAGGTTAAAGGGTGATTGACCCTGGTCAGTAAGTACCTAGATGGGAAGATGGTTCTGATGCAGGAGGGTTCTTTAAACTAGCAAAGGCAGAATGAGATCCGACGGATGAAGTCAGCAAAGCTCAAACTGGGAATGAGGCACAACCTTTTCAGAGGTTCTGTGAATACTATTGACAATTTCACAGTAACTGTCACTCAGCAGCACTTTCATTTTTGATTCCAAATTCTTCACACATTTTTCTCAAAAATGTTTGGGTTGGAAAATGTTCGATTCCCTCCTCCTCCTTTCATCGTGTTTCCATTTTGACACGGAAAACGCAGGTGAGAGGAAAACCTTTAAAAACCCAACCTCAGATGTTCATGGGGGGGAGGGATGAAAAATGGAAAATTTTGAAAAAATGAACATTAGGGGGTGAAAATATCCATATCTGGGATGAAAGGCCATTTTTGGACACTGATACAATTGTTCAGTAGGTCACCAGACTCTAAGCAATGTGCCATCCTTTGGGGCAGCTTCCCACAGGGCATGGCGAGCAGGTTCCTCTCCCTGGATTCTTTCTTCTCGCAGTGGGGCTGTTTCTAAAGGATCTGCTCTAGTGCAGCAGTTCTGGGCTGGAGGCAGGAATCCCCAGGGATGGCTCTCTGGCCTGGGTTATGCAGGAAATCCGACTAGATCAGGGGCGGGCAAACTTTTTTTGGGCTGAGGGCCGCATCAGGTTTCCAAAATTGTATGGAGGGCCGGTTAGGGGAGGCTCTACCTCCCCAAACAGCCAGGCGTGGCCCAGCCCCTATCTGACCCCCCCTGCTTCTTGCCCCCTGACGGCCCCCCTGGGACTCCTTCCCCATCCAACCCCCCCCGTTCCCTGACGGGCCCCCCCAGGACCCCTGTCCCATCCACCCCCCACCCACGTTCCCTGTCCCCTGACCGCCCCCGGAACCCCCGCCCCTGACTGCCCCCCACTGCCCCATCCAACCCCTCCTCTCATTCCTGACTGCCCCCCCCGGGACCCCTACCCCCATTCAACCTCCCTATTCCCCGCCCTCTGACCGCCCCGACCCCTATCCACACCCCCGCCCCTGACCACCACCCCCAAACTCCCCTGCCCTCTATCCACCCTGCCCCCTTACCGCGCTGCCTGGAGCACTGGTGGCTGGCGGCGCTACAGCCATGCCGCCCGGCTGGAGCCAGCCACGCCACCGCGCAGCACAGAGCACCGGATCAGGCCGGGCTCTGCAGCTGCGCTGCCCCAGGAGCTCATAGCCCCGCCACCAGAGCATTGCTCTGGCGGCGCAGTGAGCTGAAGCTGCGGGGGAGGGGGAACACCAGGGGAGGGGCCGGGGGCTACCGCCCTGGCTGGATATGGCTGTAGTTTGCCCATCTTTGGACTAGATGATCTCAGTGGCCCCTTCTGGCCTTAAAGTCTAGGGCTGTCTGAGTTCTCCAGTGGTTAATCCAGCTTGGCAGCCACAGTGTAGGACCTGACCCCATGACATCCCTTGTCAGCTGCCTGCAACCTGGAGATGTCCTTGGCCTTTGCTAGACCTCCCATTTCTTCTAGGGTCATGGGGTAGGGTTGGAGGGCACTAAGCAGGGGGAAACCCGGCTTGTGTCTCTGTTTCACCTCTCTCCCTCTGGTCACATGTGTGAGGCATGCTCCCTGCTCCCATGTTCACATGTCAGTGCATGTTAGTGCTCTTCAGTCTCTCCGCTTTCACTCCAGCTCACTCTGTGTCTGCCTCCCACACCTCTATGTATGTCTCCCCCTCTTCCCCCTTTGCTCCTGTCCCCTCCCCCATCCTAGGGTGCTCACCTTGTCCCTGCGCCCCCACCAGCTTCCGCTTAGGCTTGCGCAACGGATGGGGAGAGACGTCTCCATTTGCCTCCAGGCAACACTGAGGAAATTAATTCATCTCCCAAGCTTGTCAGATTGTTCAGGTGCCCGCGCCGCCCCACCCGCGGCATTGACACACCTCCCTGATTCTCCCTGTCCGCCTGAACGCCTGCTAGGGCTCCCCTGCTGCGGGGGCTGCTCTCCATGCCGTCCTGGGGGACGGGGAATCCCTGGGTGTGGGGAGGCAGGGGGTAGCAGTTTGGAGGATGGGTATGGGAATTTGCATGTGTGGAGGCATGTTAGCAAGCATGTATTGAGGGTGAACATGGGCATGTGTGTCAGTATGTGTGTGGGGTGTGTGCGCGCGTCTGGGGCTGCACGTGTGTGTGTGGTGTGCATGTGGGTATGTGTTGGTGTGCGTGTGTCAGTCTGTGTGGGGTGTGTGCGTGTCAGTGTGTGTGTATAGGGGTGGGTGGGGGCATGTGTGTGTGTCTGTTCAGATGTGGGGGGTGATAATACGCAGGTATGCATGGGTGTGAAAATGGGTGTGTGTGATATGTATGTGTGTGAGACAGTGGGCATGCATGTGGGAGTGTGTGTCACTGCATGTGTGTATGGAGTGTGGGAGTACCTGGGAGTTAGAATGTGCACACATGTGAAATGTACATGTGAGAACGTGTACGTGGACGTCAGTGTGTGTCTGCGTGGGGTGGGGGGGGCAGCATGTGTGTGGGGCGAGGGGGGGTCAGCATGTGTCTGCCTGGGGTGGGGGGTTAGCATATGTCTGTGGGGCGAGGGGGGTCAGTGTGTGTCTGAGGGTTGAGGGGGGGTCAGCATGTGTCTGTTGGCTGGGGGGTCAGCGTTTCTGTGAGGGGTCAGCGTGTGTCTGTGTGGGGCAAGGGGGGTCAGCATGTGTCTGCATGCGATGAGGGAGGGTGCTGGGGCTGACTAGTTTCCCCAGCCCGGCATTGTTCTCCATCCTGTGCATAGGCCTAGGCGGAGAACACAGCCTTTGCCCCCCCCATTTTCACTGTCTGTGGGGGGCACACCTGGACCCCCAACTCCAGCAACACTGCACTCCGATGGCCTTGGTTCACCTCCACTTCCCCACTCAGCAGCCCGTAAATTACCTCATCCCTGGGGCCGACAGCTGGTTCCTCCTGCCGCTTCCCAGCCCCATCATTAGGGCCTCACCTGCAAGACAGGGCTCCCCTCCCTCCATCATCCCTGGAGGAATTCCTGAGAGCCGCCCGCCGTGCTCTGAAGTGTCCTCGCCCGCGCCAAGGGGCACAGGAAATTCCACAGCTCATGACGGGGCAGAGGCAGCCCTTCCCAGGGGGCACAGTCCCCAAGACTTACTACCCCCAAGGCCCAGCAGTGCTTCCCCCGCCTCATGGCATTTTGGTGCCAATGTTCCCATCCCCAGCCCCCATTATCTCCTCCCCGCCCCCCACAGGGGTTCCCCGGCTCCATCCCCCTGCCTTGGTTGGCAATACCCTCTGGCTGTGGGGCTGAGGGGCTCTAATCCCCCAGGCCTTTATCCCCCCCCCCTCCTCCTCGTTGATGCATGGACTGGCACTGGGCCCTTTGGTGCATGGGCCAAAGCCTGTGATCCTCATGGCATTCACTCCAGAGCCATAGCCCACTGAGACCCTGGCCTCCCGTCCCCTGCCCCTGGCCAGGGACAGGCCCCCTGTTCCCATCCTCACCAGGGTCCCACCCACTTGGCAGCCAGTTACACTGGGAGAAGGAGTCATGCCCTCCTGGGCTAGAAACCACCAGCTGAGGGGTTTAGGGAGCCTGTGGCCCTGGGAGAGAAACCAATTCAGAACTACTCACCATGTGCTCCCCCAGGCAGCACTCTGTCCCGAAGCTGCAGGGCCAGGGCTAAGGGCCACACATGCCCCCGGTCACTCCCAGCCTCACCCAGCTGCACTGTGCCCCATGACTGAGGGTCTCCTTCCAGCCCTAGACAGGGCTGAGCCGTAGGGCTCTTGAGTATCACTGGCCCTTTCCAGTGCCTCCCCTTTACCCCCAGGCTCTCCCAGGAGGGACTTGTTCCTGTGCCTCCTCTGCTGGACATCCCCTTGGGGCCACTTAGGAGGGCCGAGTGGCAGCTGGGGTGTCCCCATGCTGATCTCCTCAGAGTCTCCGGCCATCCTTGGGTCAGGCCTGACCCTGGCAGGAGTGTCTGAGGGTCGCATTGGGTTCTGTCTGGGTAAATCTAATGCCTTCTCTCGCCCACTGCAGCTGAATTACCTTGGCCCCCCCTTCAATGAGCCAGACTTCAACCCTCCCCGGATGACAAGGGCCGAGATGGTGCCCAGTGCCACTGTGGACTTTGAGTTGTGGCGCAACCTGAATGACAATGCCCGGCTGGCAGCCAATTATCGGGCCTACACGCACCTGCTATGCTACCTGCGCAGCATGGATGGGCAGGTGGCCAAGGCCGAGCTGCGCAAGAACCTGGGCCACTTCTGCACCAGCCTGCAGGGCCTTGTGGTGAGCATTGCCAGCGTCATGTCCTCGCTGGGCTACCCGCTGCCCAGCCCGCTGGGCAGCGCCAACCCCACCTGGGCCCAGGGGCCGGGCACCACTAGCACCCACAATGACTTCCTCAAGAAGATGGACGACTTCTGGCTGCTCAAGGAGCTGCAGACCTGGCTGTGGCGCTCCGCCAAGGACTTCAACCGCCTGAAGAAGAAGGTGCCGCCTGCTGCCCTCATGCTGCGCCTCGAGGCGCGGGGTTTCTGACCCCTGACCCCCCCACATCCCATCACCATGCTGTGCCTCAAGGTGCGGGGCATCTGCCCACTCCCACCCTACTCGTCATGCTGTGCCTCGAGATAAGGGGCTTCTGACTTCCACCTCCCCCCAGATCTTCCGCACCTCCAAACCCAGGCTCCACTGTACCTCCCACCCCTTACCCCTCTCCCTCCCTTCCATGGTTTCCAGCCTCCTCCCCGTCCGTGATGCCATGCAGCACGTCCCCATCCTTCTCCCTCCCTCTCTGCGCCCTCCCTGCCCCCGCTTTTTCTTTATTCTCCAGCAAGGGACCTATTTGCTTTCCAAAACAGGGAAATGACCCTTATTCTCCCAATACAGCCCAGAGCAGCACTAAGCCCCACCTCCAGATCTTGACAGCAATAAGCCCCTCCCATTTCACCCAGAGCAACAATAAGCCCCACCCCCATGTGCTCTGGGCAGCAGTCAGCACTGTCTATTTACCATGGGCAGCCCTAAGCCTTGTCTGGCTTTGTCTCTTGCTGTGTCATACTCTGTACCTCTGGTTTGATCCAATTCTTCCTCTGCGTCCCCCTCCTCTGCTGCAATCCCCCACCCCTCCTCTCATGCACAGAAACCTGGACTCATCCAGCCTTTCCTCAGGTTCAGAGCCCCTGACGCTGTCTTGCAGCCTGGCCTCCGTGTCTCCTTGGGTGCTTCCAGTTCTGCCCTCCATGCATCACTTCCCTCATGGCTGAGGTGAGCAATGCCACCAGCGCCAGCCCTCCGGTCCCACCTATGAATGGGGCAGTCTCACCCCATGACACTGCAGCATCGTAGGGCAAGAGGGACTAGAAATAGGAAGGATCAGGGGGTGAAACAGGAAAGTCTGGAGATCCAAAACAGAAAGGGGGAGGGGGAATGAAACAGAAAAAATTGGGGTCCAAAACAGGAAGGGGTAGGATTTGGAATGGAAAAGGTTGGGGTCCAAACCAGGAAGGGGCGGGGTTTGGAAGAGGAAAGGTTGGGGTCCAAACCAGGAAGGGGCGGGGTTTGGAAGAGGAAAGGTTGGGGTCCAAACCAGGAAGGGGCGGGGTTTGGAGGAGGAAAGGTTGGGGTCCAAACCAGGAAGGGGTGGGATTTGGAAGGGGAAAGGTTGGGGTCCAAAATAGGGGCAGGGTTTGAAAGCAGACCTCCAGCATTTCTCCAATTACAATGCTGCTACAACTTTTGGCCCCACCTCCTGACAAAACACCCATGAGGGCCAGGAAAGCAGGGGAGCTAAACCAGGAAGGGGTGGGGCAATATCCCTCCGCCCTTTCGTGCCATGACACATGGAGCATTTCCTTAAAGTTTACATTGTTGCTGACGTAGCATTTGGGCAGTTGTGGGGGCTCTCCCTGGCATAGGCCCTGCTGCCCAGCCCCCTGCCCATGCTTCAGGTGTGGGATCAGGGTTAAGGGCCTGTGACCCCCCTCTTCTTCCCCCCCCCCACATTCCCCCTATCGGGTTGTGTTTTTCTTGGTTTGTCTATATTAATATTTATTTATTTGGAAATGTTATTTATTAGATGGTATTTATTGCAGAATTTCTATTCTTGTATTAACAAATAAAAGGCTTCTTCCATGAGCTTGGCTCACTGGCATCTTGGGTTGGGACTGGCTGAGAGCTCACTGGGCTGCTAGAGTTCACCGC